TCCCATATGTCCCGTAACACAACTCAATCTATTACAGAATCCTGTTATCTAGTTCTCCACCCAGTCCATCACTTCCATCACTCCGGTAGTCCAGGCAATTGGACAATGTCTTATCAAATGCCCTAAGAAGATATTCTGCTCAAGGGCTTGACAGTCACAAGGGGTGGCCTTGGCGTTTTGGTGGCTTTATGCAACTATATTCCCTTTTAAGCCACCACCATATACCTCACCAATTCTGCATATCACAACCTCAAATGTTGCCGACCATCAACTTTATTGTAGGTGGGTTCGAAAACACAATGTACCCCACATTTCCTACTTAAAACATCACTCGCGTCCAGTGACTCACATGCCAAGGCCTCTGCTTTTACCACCACAGCCTCGATCATCTCCCACACATCAACGACCTCTACCTCTGCCTCCGTCTTAGCCTCTTTATTGCTCCACTACTATAACTAAATCCTATCCAATTAGCTAAGGCTGCTACTATTGTTGACTGATTGGATAAACCTACTACTACTGGTATTGGCCACATCGTCACCCATGTCCACGTCCATGGTCTCTGGACTGGTCACTCTGACCTCCGCTCTCACCCTATGATTGTTTTCAGCTCACTCGTTGTAGACTAAAAATGTGATGAGTAGTCACTATGGCTTGTTTAGGTTCATCGGGTATCCATGATGCAATGGTAGGTCTCAAGGGCTCTTGGAGGCCCTCAATAAACTAGTAATATAACTCAGCATAGGACATGTCAGGTAGCCTAAAACCTCACTTCTGAAACTCATAAACATAGACCTCCACTAAATGATATTGACAGAGGCTATGCAGCTTCCGCCTGGCCTGCTCAACAAGTGTGGCCCACTCACACGTGTTCTGTAATTCAGTCGTGAACTCATACCAGGCAACAAATGGTGCGCAGATTCCTTAGTGGACTTATAACTCCACCAAGTTCATCCATGAAATCGCTGAATTAGATAGATTTGCAGACATAATTGCCAACCACCTTGCCTCATCTACCATATTCCCTCGTAGCCATTGACAAGTCGCCAGTACCCATTCAATATAGCTGACATCCTCATAATGTCCTAAAGTTGGTTAGGCATTGGGATTCTGAGTCTCCCAAAGCCAACATCAGTAGAGATAAGGGCAACAACTCTGACTCCCAGATCTGGTGACCCACCTCTATATGACCGCTGACTCCCATCTATCCATGTACCAACATCGTCACCGCCATCTCCTCCACCACCATCATCAGACGGCCCACCATGCAGGTCATTAGGAGGTGACCTTTTGGGCGGTCTCCTTGGTGGTGCATACCCACCTGCTCCTCCTCTAGCACTGCTACCTACTGTGCCATATGAGCCTAGGCCACAATAGGGATCATCCGACATCCCTTGCCCCCAATATGAAGATTGCAAGATTATACTTCCGAGATTATCTCACAGACAATCCTTGACCAAATGTGTTCTCGCCACTCCTCTACAATGGCATTCCACTCTGACCAACTCGACGTACATGGGCAAACTGACCAGCTTGACCGATCAAGGTATGCATTACTGGAGGCATCATTGGTACTGAAAAGCTGGGACAATTGGCCAAAATTCCCAAATTTTTTGGCCTGAAAACACTCTCTTGCATTGTAGTATTTAGGACAATAAGGGTGCCTAAGTACTGCCTGAAGGGAATTTGGGCGTCCAAATATCCAACAACTCATATTGTCTGAATTCCAGCTCATGGCACCAACAGATAGCGGTAACGCTCCACTCGTCATACCTTGGGGGGTGTTACAGCCCTCTGTTACCCCTGGGGTGCATAACCCCCTGGATTAAGTAATGTTTTTGCGCACGTCCGCTGTCTAGCCATGCCATGCTCGACCAAATCCGTAGGTGATGGCAGCTTCCTCCGAAGCGGCGCACGTGGTGAGCTTGAATCCGCGCCGGGGCTCAGCGTTGCTGTGGCTACCCGCACGTCCAATTGCTCAATGGCGCACTTGATATCCGCAAAACTGCTCTCCATGGTCACCGCCCGCTGAGCATGGTCCGCCTCCATCACATGAACTCGGTCGCAAACCATCTCCATTGCATTTTGTTGAGCTTTAACAATTGCGCCAAAGCCGCCAAGGGCTTGGGCAGCTTTGCGTTGCCATGGCGGGCATTCATGGCCTCCTCGGAGGCTTGACCGGCGGAGGCCTCAATGGCCATGGCCTGCCATTTTTCCGCGTTGTGCTCCCCCTCGAGGGCTGCCAACTGCTGGCCTACCTCCACGACCTCCTCCCACGTCCTCACAAACTGCTCGTTATCCATCACGCCCGCTAATTTGGCCTTATCCTCCAATTGTTGGTTGTGTGCCATTAAGCCTGCCTCCGCCTTCGTCAACCGCTCTCCCACTGCCTCCATCCACCGGTCCATTTCGGCAGTAATCCATTGTTCCATCCATCGCCGGTTTCCTGCATGGCGGTTTGCATCCGCCGCAGCCCTCCCGCTTGCCTTTCCACCCATCGCTGCACATCCTCCAAACCAGCGCCAATCACCGAAATGGCCCCTTCCTGGTGGGCCATTCGGCCGCACACTCCCTCCTGTAAGTCGTGCAGCTCATGGCCTCGAGATTGCTCCGAGGCCGCTGCCCAATTCCTTGTAGCTTGCAACTGCGCCTTCATCACCTCGGACATGCCGCGGAGGGTGGCACCCGTCCGATTCTACACGCCTTGGGTCCACTCAATGACCATAATCATTATCGCTCGCCATGCAGCTCCCGCGGCCATAGCCCCCACTTGCCGCAGCATTGAGCATTTGGGCCGATCATCCTCCCCGCCATGCAGTGAGGCCACCATTGCCATGCCGTCACCATTCAGCTCCACCGGGGTTGCATCACCCCAGTAAGGTACCATTGCTTGGTGCGCTTGGTCCCTCCGATCCCCATGGTCTGGGCCATGATCCCCCGACGACATCCTAGCGGCTGGATCACCGTTTCTCGTTGCGCGAATGCCCCTCGCTCCGGAGCCAGACAATATGGGAATCTTGCTCCCATGGCGCATGAAGCGGAATGAAGCGGGAGTCAATCGAGCCCCGAGTGGTCATTCCTTAAATAGACAATACAATTATACAATAACAAACGAATTGTTCCATCCAATAACCATATATTCGCTCTTTGATCACTCAGTCATCCTACATTATAATCAAATGCATCAAATACCATCTAATCTCACAACATTGTATCAGGTGGATTGTGCCAACATGTACAACACAGTAGCACTGGTACACTCTGGTGTTATGATGCCAGATTTTCTGCGATGAGCATAGGTTCTGTTGTGTAAAGTACTTCAAGGCCACAGCACTTGGGCACTTTGGGTTCCACAGGACCAGTCATAAAATGTTACATTCTCATCCGAGTGTGAAACAAGTTGAATCATCCAGATAGCAAGAACTGTTTCTTGTGCCTGTGGCAACTGTGTGATGCATGAACGGCACCCCTGCATTCAAGAGTGCTCCTTTTGGCGACCAATCTGCTGCAGATTGCAATCCAAAATGATCAAAAATAGATTCTTCACAATTTGGCTGGCCCCGTTTGTTCAAATGGGACAACGAAAATGCCATATTTTGTTGAAACACGTGTGGGGCACACACAATTTAGTAAACAAATCATTCAATGAACAGGTTATCATGAACAAGTGAACTGCAAGTGTCGGACTCAAGCAAGGGTGAGTACAACTTTTCATTTTGCAACAGCATGCTTGACTGCCTGTTGCCTGCACCTGAGAGTGGATGGCACTGACGAGACAGATGCACACCGTCTCACTGCCACAGTGACAAAGCAATTCCCAGCACCTGTCATGCGTTGTCGAGCTGCATTCAAATCCACCAGCAGTCACCCCTATGTTAATCATACTTGCCTATGAACTGCCTATACCTACCTATGATCATACCTGCCAATCTCTTATGCACAGTCAACACTGCCTAACATGACTGTGGTATTAATACCTACATTGATAGTGGGTGAGGTCATCTCCAAGAGGGCACCTACCGAATTATTCTTAAAGCTGATCTTTAGAGTTGGGGTGAGGGCCAAGCCAAACTCGCCCAACTGCATGGTGCATGGCCTCTCAAACCTTACAGTGTTGTGTGTGACATCGACTCGCAGCTGCTTGTTGAACTGGAGGTTTACAACAGCCAAAAAACGTCAATATTCTGTGCAGAACTTCATTAAGATTTGCAGCAAGTGGAGTTGCACATGCCACAGGACATTCTTGTTTGCAGAGACACCATTCCCAGCCACCACAACACAGGCACCAAAATCCACATAGTCAAAGCCACCCTGCCAAGTATCATGCAGGGTTGGTTCATGCACAAAAACAATAGAGAAAGATACTGCCCCCCTTTGCTCATAGACTGGGTGTGCTGGTGGTTCAATTTGCGCAGCAATGCAGGACCATACAATGGATGTCAGAGTCCTAGAAGAAGAGCCAGTTAAGAATGCGATGTTGGCCACTGCATACAACTGGCCACAGATATGCTCTGGGACCAGTCCTTGAGTTGCTGCCTACACATGTATGGCATACTGCCAGAAGGCCCGCATTGAACACATTTGCCAGAATGATGCATTGCTGGATATGATTCTATTGGGCTATGACATGTCCCTTCTCCAGGTATTGGTAATTGCATGACTAGCCTAGTCAGCTTGCAGGCAGCACTCCAGGAAAAAGCATGACAGGCAACTGCAGTCTATGCCGGTTTATGCAATATATCAGCAAATCAAAAATATGAAGCAAGACTTGACATTGCACTGTATCTGGTGGAATGTAAGGAATAGTAGTTCGGCATGGGAAGGTGTGGCCACGATGGGTGTGCAGGTCGATGCGCAGTCCCAACAGCAATTCACAACAAGCCACTCTTTGGGTATTGTAGTCAGGAGGCTACAAAATCAGCACAAGGCAATACCAAGAGCATATGCTGGGCACAGGAGATACTTCAGGGCACAAATCGGGTATCGGCAGCTGGGCGCACTTTGTAGGTGAACTGCACCACAGGCGTGAGCTTGTAATTCTGAAAGCAGTAGTCGCCCCCCACTGTCATCTGGAGTTAGGCACACAGCACAATCAGTTATATGCCACCTGAACCTCACAAGTGGAGCCCATGGCGAACATAACCTGTGAATGCATCAATGCAAAATTATGGACTGCTTCATAGACAGTGACAAAACACAACGGTATCACATTTTTCATAGTGCAGTATCCATCCAGGTACCAATCGTGTTCAGATGTGTCCATCTTTCCAAACCTCTTTGCCAAGCAATGATAAGGAGACCAGTGCCAAAGGCAGTTCTTGATGCTGGCTCATGGAATCGTGCCGAAGGTCGTTCTTCTTTCAAGGTACAAAAAATATGCACTTGCGCTGAATGCATCTGCCGTGCTTGACAGCAACATGAATTCTGAGTTTGGATCACACAACATCGGTATTCTTCTACATGCTTTGCAATGAACAATATTGATTGATTCAGGGGGCGAGATTCCTGGATGTGGGTTCGTTAAAGAGCTGTCAGCGCGAGAGGGAAAAGAGTTGTCATTAGATTCTCTGCCTCCCTGTAATCCGATGAAGAACACTTCCAAAGTTCCAGCAGGATTTCGGGTGCAGATCGACTCACGTAGAGCTTTTCCTTCAGCTTCCAATCCTGAACACGGCAAAGGGGCACATCCAAACGTCAGCAGCTTCCAAAGAGGGACAACACAACACCGGTGGAAAGCGTGCCTTTGCGCCGACGGCCGCGGCCAAGTGGCACATAGCAAGAGCACGCGCGAATCCGCAGGGCGGCACCACTGGCTGCAGATCGCCAAGATTGGGATGCAACCCCGCCCGTGTGCAGCATCAGAGATCAAGGCGCCAAGTGCGCAAAGCCAGCGCGCCCTACCGCTGACAACGATCCATGAGCCCTAGCCCAGCTCCGCGGCTCCAATGCCAAATGCGTTCTCAAATCCCCAGCCGGATTACAACCCCTCACCACCGCCCATCCCATCACATCCAACCACCCACCCTCCCCGCCGCGGCAACCCCGAAGCCCGAAATCCAATTACGCCCAGTACAAGCAACCCCACAACTCAGCCGCGATCACGCGACAAGGCGATCAATCGCACGCGCACCTTCCGCAGCTTCAGGCTGTTCTTGAACCCCCGAAAGTTGAGCAGGCTGTTCCAGAAGCCGGTGGGCTCGGGGTAATACGAGCTGGCGTTGCTGATCGTCCTCTGCAGGCCCCGGCTGGGCGTGCCCGCCCTGGAACGGTCCCCCTCGCGCATCACCCGGGGGGAGTCCTTCGGATTCGTCATGCCCAGACGGCTGTGGCGGCCGCTGGGCGGCCTGGGCCGAGCGCGCTGCCGCGGGCTGCCCTCCGCGTGTGTCCCCTGAGGCCCGTACGCCTGGCCGCGGGCTGGCAGGGGCTTGGCTGTGCCGTGGGGGTTGGCGGTCTTGGCGAGGGAAAGGGATGCCAACCCGCCCAGCTGCCAGTTGGTCGACGTCGAAGATCAGCTGATGTGGAACTCGGCAGCGAGCCTGTTTTTTTATGCTCCTTGCGCCTGCGATGGCAGTGATTCTGCAGTCAATCGGAGGATGTCGTCTGTGAGAATATATTAGTCCCTCTGTCTTTTCCGTGACGATCCCTTCCCCCGTTGACAAGGCCAACACCAGTCAGTGGGTCAGTAGTTTAGGGTTTAGTGTGTTGTCACACCACGCTCGCAAAAATGGGTACAAGAACGAGTATGATGTCCAGAGATGAAAGGGAAGCTTCACCGCAACTTCTTTAGATGCCTCCGCCTGCCATTGAATACAAATTACCATCCTTTAGTACTTAGGGTAGAAGGTAGTACGCCACACGCCCACCCACTGCACCGGCGACATGTCACGAAGTACTCCCCACATCCCCTTGGTTGTGTTCCAGTACTTAAGGGGGCGTTGTATTCACCGCCGTACCCACAATAGTATATTGTGATGGCAATACGGTGCTAGTCACCCGCCCCCCTCAGTGATCCCCACTGCCTGTACCTCACGTAAGGCAGTAGCGGTCGCGTGGGGCGCCGGTACGATTAGTCATTCACAACAGGGGGTGCCGGCCCCGACCGATCCGCCTCCACCACGGTTACGTGACTCTTGGCCTAGACCTCGTACATGTCACGCTGGCCATCAGCTTCTTCCATCACGATCCCCACCAACATGCGCCACTTTCTGCGATGGAACATGTCCGCACGCCTGTACTCCACCCACGACCGATTTGCGAGCTGTCACCTCCCCCCACATAGCGATCAATCATTGCCATGCTTGCCTCACTCACCTGTTGTGACACCCAATCGAATCGGTTATCGATCCTGCCGGCCGTTAGCAATGCGGGTGACCAGATGTTAGGATCCACCATACGAGAGGGTCGGTCATAACTTCTAAGCAAACCAGACCAACCAGCAAGCACACTCAAACAGCACAGAAGCAAATCACAATGGTTACAACTGCCAGGACTTGCAACTCACGGTTTGGTCTGCCCCCTGACATGGGCAACTCCTTTAAATAGCCTGCGGGGGGCAACAACATGCCCTCCCACTCCCACAACGGTTCCAATAGAAGTGTTCAAAAACTACTTTCGAAACTATTCTAAAACTCCCCCCAGAACTGCCCAAAGAGCTGCCGTTTTAGAACGAATTTTGCCCAATTCTTTAACCTGCCATGCACACCTTTGCAACCCGTTTTCTCATAGCACAAACCATGCCCCACATCAGTCTATTTGGATTGCGAATTCCCTTGTTTTAGGGCATGAAACCGGGCTGTAAAAGAGGACAGAATCGCGCTGCATTTCAAAGAGAAAGTCCTACAACTATGTGGGATTTCTCAATCTCCCAGTCTCGTCGCTGCACTCCTGGACCCACCGTTGCCCAAGTTAGAGCTGCATCCAAATGGCGACCTTCGCCTTCAATAGGTTCTTGATTGTGGTGTTTTGGATAATCCCATATTGTTGCGGCCCCATCGGCAACCGCTGGTTTCCGGAGGCATTGGGGTCGCCCTGCCCTGCAGCTCGGCTGTTGGAGGTCAACCGGCCCTCTTCACCTTGGACGGTGGGCGTATCCGGGGCAGTCGCTCCTATGGTCGCGCGGTGGGCCCAATGCTTGACGGGGATCGATCCCCGGGGCCTGTTGTCAGCGAGAGGTGGCGGCACAGCGCGATGGTGGTTTGCTGGCTCGCGGGAGGCCAAAGAATGGGCCAAAGGATGTTACATGGATTCACTGCATGCGTGCGCACATATCGCATGCGCGATGCCCGATCGCGGGTCCATCGCGGTCACATCAAGATAAGACAGGTCAAGTGCGCGTCCAGGCACATTGTCACCGTCCACCGTTCACCTACGATCGACCCAATGTCCTCTAATTCCAAGCATCTCACACCCGACCCCCTGGCCCTAAGTACTATGACTTTAGAAGGCCATATCTTTGTCAATTCTTAACAGAATCGGGCGTTTAAAAGCTCGTTGGAACCAGGAAGCTCTAAATGTTACGCGCACTGGCCTGATGTGGGGGACGCCCTACTACTGGCTCTTGGTGTGGGGGACGCCCTACCCAAGATCGTATTGTATTCCTTGTCCTATGGTAACCCTTATACTTATAAGGATATGGGAGTAGGAGGGGTGGTCCCGCCTAGGTCCCCGTAAGGACCTAGGTGCCCGGCGAGGCGGGTCCAAGGCTCAAAGAGGGCAGGCGCCCCACACCCACAGACTTTTCGTATCATTTGGTTTCGGAGCCACCTGAGGGTGGCTACCACGCTTCCGCCTGGGCGGACGCGCAAGCGCGGAGCAACGGGCTCCCTCCCCGGCCTCCACCATGGAGGCCGAGGAATCAGACAGTTCTGCCCGCAAGGGCGCCCCCGACACGTCGGGAAAGGTTGACACACCCCGGGAGGGGACACCGACTTCGGTTGGTGAGATTAAAGCCCGGGATGGGCAAGGAGGTGAAAAAGTCCGGGAGGACACGGCTGGACCCTCCACAGCCACTCCGCCACCCGTAGAGGAAGATGAACCCATGGGGGAAGTGAGTGCCCCACCGGCGGCGGAGAAGAAGCAAGAGCAAGATCAGGGAGCCATAGCGGCGCTGCTGCAGTCCCCTGGTATCATGGAGCTCTTGGAGCAAGTGGCGGATGCTGCGGCCCAGAAGGCGAGAGCGAAGCGGAAGGAAGAGACCGCCGAGAGGATCGCCTCGCTGGAGATCGCCGTCAACAAGGCCAAGAAAGAAGCTCGAGAAAAAGAGCTGGCCATGAAGAAGGCGAAGCAGCAGAGCTGCGAGGCACAAGAAGCCAAAACCTCCACCGAAGACCAGGTCAAGGCGTTGAGTGACCACCTCCTGAAGCAAAAGCAGCGGGCCCAGGAGGCAGAAGAGAGAAGCGCCCAACAGGTGGTGCCGGCGGTGAGGGCCCCTAGTCCGTCGGAGCTGCCCATGCCAACCATTCCAGAGGAAGACTGGAAGGTTGCTGGCAAGCAGCGCCCCAAGCGGAAGAGTCCATCGCCAGGTGAGCGGCCGATGGAAAGTGAGAAATCTCCATATCAAGGCCGGGAGGCCAAAGCCTTAGGGCGAATTGAGAGAATACAAGGCCGGAAGGTCAAGATCCCGGAGCTACGGCTCAAATCCCAGGTGCATGTGAGAACACCTAGTGGATCGGACGGGACGGGAGATGAGTCGCTTACAGAAAGCGCTCAAGCAGTATGCGGAAAAAGTCCGCCAAGGCCGGGAGGCCACAACTGGAGCCCCGGAGGCCTGCGCTGCCTGAATGGGGACCTGGTGAAAGCTCAAGAGTGCTGGAATTTGTTCCAGACACTCGAGATCCGTATAGCCGGCAACCACCGTGCCGTGCAATGTGGACAAAGTTCCACAGTGATCTCGTCGATGAGCTTGACGAGGGGTGGCGAATGGCCGCCGACCAGTTTGGAGAAAGGTTGACCACCGCCCGACTGGTACGAATTCAAAGGTGGTATGGTCTCTGGAATGGCAGATCAAATTGCCAAAGAGGACCCAAATTGGCCAGAAAAAATGGCCTTTGCGCTCAGGCACATCCCAGAACCATGGGACTTGAGCGATGGGAGTCCAGAGAGACCGGACCCCAATGATCCCCACGAACGGTGGGAGGAGATCTCAGAGTTGTCGTTCTCATCTTGTGCATCTCCAATGCCGGGAGACATGTCCACCCGAGCACAAGTGCACAGAATGGAGAAAGAAAGACGACGCATTCGTAACCGAGATCGGTTTGCTCGTGCCAAGAAGTTGGACGAACAAAAGGCCAGAAAGGCTAACCAGCGACGAGAGCTGAAAGCGATGCGGCGTGAACGGGATCGCCAATTGAATCCCGAAAAATATGAGCGTAAACGAGCTCACAAACGCCAGCGCAAGGCTGAGATCAAGCGGTTTTTCTCCGCAGGAGGCAGCCAAAAGGCGCAGCGCCTAGAGGTTAAGCCGCCGGTCGATGAGCTGGACCCGGCCGAGCAGGCTAAGGCCTTTGCCCACATTGCCAAGAAGGAGGGGACCTCCAAACGCTGGGCCGATCAGCAGGACAGTAGCGGCAGTGACAGTGGTGTAAACCACCCTGCCCGCTTTGTCCCTACCCAACCGGAACAGGCATCGCCGTCGGTTGTGGAGACCAGCATTCCCAAGGTGGAGAAAACGCCAGGGAAGGAGACCCAGCCTAAAACGGCAAAGGCGAAGGAATCGCCCGGCAAGGAGAAAGACCCGCCTATGAAGGCGAGAGATCAGCCTGAAAAGGCTAAGGGGAGATCCCAAGGCCTGCAAAGGCCAACCACAGGTGACATTCCTGTCGAATTGCCCTTGCTGCAACCTGTTGAGAACACCAAATTGCGTAACCGTGCAGACATCGTTGATTCTGCGGGTAACGACGATGTTGTGTATCTCGGTTCAGCAGGTGAACCTGCCAGTCCCATTCCCCCGGAGAGACGGGAGACATATGAGGTCCTGCAGAAGCAGGAAGCCGCTTTGCAGCGAGCAAAAGCGGATGCAGAGAAAGCTGCTCAGCTTCGTTCCTTGATGGGGAATGAAGATTATGCAGCATATATGGAACTGCAAGAGGCGAAGCAGGCCTCAAAGGGACGGCAGGAATTGCAGTACAAACCGGCATTACCAGGACCTGGCTACCAGGAACGCCGTGCCCAGCAAATGGCGGCTGAACAACGTGGTCGGGCAAAGGAGCTGCACGAGGCACCCAGACCAACCCCAGTAATACATACCCCTGTCATCCAGGACAGGAGGGGATTCTGGGATACATTGGGTGCATTCCACGACCCTCATGGAGGGGT